CTATACCTAATTAGTTTAGGTACTGTGGCAGCAACAACAATCGACATATTGCGACCACAACAGCATCGCAGTCGTATTGACAAAATATCTGAAATCATAGCTGAATATTATGCAGTTGACAATATTTTTATAAATAACTATTGTTTATGGACTGCGGGAAGACATTATTTATAATTTATAAATAATAACATTAAATTACAATATAATATGTTAATCTAATATTAACGCGAACCCTTACGTAGTGAATAATATAATTAATATAATAACGTAGCAAATTATAATAAACTATGAAACTATTGAAACATATGAAAACTACAAAACAATAAATAAGAACTATCAATAATATTACAGTTAACATTGGAATAAAATTACGAAAACTAAAATTATATTTTTACTACAGAATTTAAACTTTGAAGACAAATATACATAAGCCATAAGCATAATATTATTGAAGTTAACTTCCAAAAGTAAATGTTTTATCTTCATCGTTGTTATATATATTATTTATATATATAAATAAATATAGACAAATAAACGAATAGTATTGTACATCATGTCATCATAGTATCATACATATTTAAATTTTTATAATATGCAATATTTGCATGATCGCTGAATTCAACAACAGGGCCCCTGCAGTTTCGGGTAAGCGGGGCCCTCATGCAGTCGTCCGAGCCATTGTTTTTGAAGCGAGAGATAAAACCTTACTTAACCTAAAGTAGCACAATTATTCCAAAAAACCTCCTTCTACTTGTTACAATGTTACTATTATAATTGTTACTTGACACTTGCACATTGATACATTAGTATGCACTACTCTTACACTATAGATAAAAGGTAAACGTCTGATTATTGATCCAATTATTAAGATCTTGTAATTGTTCTTCACCCTGGACCCCAAAAGTATGGGCCCCCCCCCAAAAAAAAAAAAAACAGAGGGGCCATGGCTGGGCCAACACTGCATGTATACTATTACTGGATACGGATCTTATTATCTTTATAGGTACAACTAAACAGGCTAATGACCTCCGCTGTCAAAGCCTTAATTCTTTTTTTTTTTTTTTTACAATGGCATTACTTTTTTTTTTATTTTATTAAATGAATATTTACAATCTGTATACATAAAATAATACAATAAGTAAATTATGAAAGCTTAAACGAAAAAAACGAAAAGAACATGAAGGCTTGAGAGAAGGGGGTGCCCATTGACACCACTTCAAAAAGTCATTATACTCAACAGAATGTTAATTTAGTTTAGTAGATCTCTGGGCCAACGTCGTTTTAATCGACGTAGTGGATTTATAGGGTTAGTTAAGGAGCGGAGATTGGAGATAAGTGGATTTTGATGGTTAATTATGGCTGTGTGTAGTTTTTTGTAGGATTGAGAGGCTAATTCAGGAAGAGTTAGGATTTTCAGGTTATTATGGAGGGACTGATTGCTGACGAATCAAGGAGCACCTGTGATGACGCGTAAGCTTATAGACTGGAAGGATTGGAGTATGTTAATATTTGACTTTTTAGCTGCTCCCCAAATTTGGACGCCGTAAGTCATGGCTGGTCTTATCACTTGTTTATATATTAGAATTTTGGTTCTAAGTGGAATTTTGGAGCGTAATAGATTTCTAAGAGAATGAAGACGTAAATTTAAAGATTTACGTTTAATTTTTATATGGTTTGACCAATTTAGTTTTTTGTCAAGGTGGATGCCTAGGTATTTAACATGGTCTTGTTGAGGGATTATGTTGTTGTTGATGGATAGGGGATGACTGTTAATAGAGCGTAGAGTGAAGGTTATGTGGCTAGATCTGGATTCGTTAATTTTTATTCTCCAGAGGCGGAACCAGCTTTGGAGTTGTATCAGATGATCCTGGAGTCGTTTGGAGGACTGATCGGGGTCAGAGTGGGAGGAGATTATAGCAGTGTCATCAGCGAATGTGGCAATAAAAGTGTCGTTAGAGTGAGGTATATCCGAGGTGAAGATGTTATAGAGAGTCGGCGCTAAGATGTTACCTTGAGGTATACCTGCAGTGATATGATGTGAATGTGATATATCATCTAAATAGCGGACCGCAAAAGTGTGACTGGTTAGGAAGGACTTAAGTATAAGAAACAGAGGAGCCGGAAGGAAGCGGAGTTTGTAGAGAAGTCCGTCTGACCACACTTGGTCAAACGCCTGGGCAACGTCGAGGAAAACAGCTTGGCAGTGATTTTTTGTTTCGAGAGAAGTGGAGATAATATCAGTTATTCTATGCACTTGGTGTAGAGTTGAGTGTTTGTTTTTGAAGCCGAATTGCGTATTAGGGATTATATTAAGATCATTAATAATTGGGTAGATTCTTTTAAGGAGAACTTTTTCAAGGATTTTAGAGAGTGTAGGGAGGAGACTAATAGGCCGATATGAGGAGGGAGATTCTGGAGGTTTTCCAGGTTAGGTTAGGTTAGGTTCTTAATAAAAAAAAAAAATATTTGATAAAAACTAAAAGAATATTTATAGATTTAACAACCAAGTTAAATAGTTTGTCCATATATACAGTGTGTACCTAATTATAAGCCATATAAACATAAGATACATTTATTTATACTGTATGGACTTTTTCTACGGGGAAATGTAATACGAGGAAAATCACTGGCCCTGGAAATGTTGAACCTAACGTTGACGGGGAAATGTTTTATGGGGATCTGTCCATGAATCCTTTCATTTATAATATAAATACAGATTTGACAAAATCTAACATTTAATAATGATGGATGAAAATTTGTAAAAAAAAGACGATTAGATTTTATATTTTAAAATCATGAAATATACTTGTGTTTTAAATTAGCCTATGAAATTTAAAATATCTATTAAAATATAATTAAACAACAAGGTAATTTCTATTCTTATATCTAATATATTAAAAACTATTTCTTTATATCAGTACGACAGTACCTACCTATATTATGTCGGAATTATTGAACCTCCTCCCAGAAATAATTGAAAATACTCAACTGCATACATAGTCGTCCCAAGGGGGGATGGGGGATGGGGCAAGTGCCCTAGGGCGTCTTAAGTATTATAAATTTAGAGAGCGTACTAAAAATGAATGATAAAAAGAAAAATTTGGTGTTTTTATTTTGGGTATATTATTTTTCTGTTTATACTGTAATATCAAAGATGAGTACCTATCAAATTGTATACTATTAAATATAAAATTATGTAAATAATGTGTTAAATCTTAATGCGACATAAATTCAATAATATATTCAATATTGAATATTCATAAAAACGAATAAAAATATTAATACTTACAACTTATAAGTTATAAGATTACAATAGTAATTTATTTACGTGAAATATATTTTAAATATGTATACACATCATTAAAATAATTAAGTAATATACCTACCTACTTATAAACTAAACTAATTCATATCTTTGGTTGTATTAAATAATATTTTCACTTGAAAAAGATTTCCTTTTTCTGGTTTTGTAATCGACAAATTTAAGAAAATCGCACTATGGATTACAGAAACCATTTTTAATTATAAACAAAGAGAGGTCCTTAATTGTTGTGTTTAATAATCCTCCTTTAATTTGCCTGGTAAAATATGGAGAAATGTCATCATTATTTTATATGTGTCAAACTCCTAGAGGTGTTTCTACACCTCAAATGGAACAGAAAAGTCTTTATGACCCATGCCTTAAAAAATTGTTGTTAGATAAAACTGAATTTTTTTTAAATTTTGTAATTTTAAAGTTTTAAAACATTTGTGTTATTCTTTTTACCCAAAAAATCAGGTGGGAACCTTGTAACTTGTAAGATATGTTTTCCTAATCCCAATTTTATGAGCTTTTCATCAATGTATTCAAATTAATTGTAGTACCTACGGTTTAGCAGATATGAACATTATTATGAATCAAACTTGCGTTTAACCAAAAAAACACAAACATAGAGATTATCACCCTTATTATTGATAATTCGATTATGGTCATAAGGACTTTTTTGTTCCATTTGAGCCTTGAGAGTTGAGGTGTAGAAACCTCTAGAAGTTTGACACATTTATAGAATAATATTTCAATAATACATCAAATATCTATACTGACAGTGAAATTTGATTCATACATAAATACATTAAAATAATGTGAATTTGATATTTTTATTATCAAATACGAAAATAGTAAATTATTAGTTGGGCTGGGGTCTGGGCCCCCCACAGTCTATGGGCCTCAGTGATCAACAACCCCCACTCTCGGGTAGTTGTGCTACTGTAATTATTAAACGCCAAGATATATGTATATTATGTTATAAGTTATAACCAACTCATTATCAAAGTTACCCACTTCTTAAAATAAATCGATGTAGTGTATTTTGACTGAATTGTATATATTATATTCACTTGTACAATTTACAATGTTGACTGTTATACACGCCAAGCGCAGAAAAGCAGAACGTATGATTTATAATAAAATCTACTAATTTGTGAAAATAGTTATCTATATTTTCTTTCTGTAATGTACGAGTGTACCCAGAATAATGAAATCGGAAAAACTATAGAAACAAAATAAATATGATTCCAATAATAATATTACAAAAATAAGTAGGAACCTTTAATTAATAAGTATTAAACATATTTAAGGTATGTGGTTAATTATAAGCTAAAAATGTGAAGTCGAGATCTTTTTGTGGGAGGGAGAGGGTCGTCAAATATTGTTGCCCTAGGGCGTTATTGGTGGTTACTGGTTAGAGCGGCACTGACTGCATATATAGATCGTCTAAAAAGGCATTGTTATTGTTATTGTTATGACAAAGGTCTTGGTTTCCCGCCAACGAGTATACCCGTTTACCACCCATCGCATTTTACGGCCGCCGTTGCGCCTACCGATGTTGGCGACACTGCGATGCGACACTGCGATGCGACATGCCGTCCGCCATAACGTCGGGGTACCACCGCCCGCCACCTCCGGCTCCCGTTGGCGCGTTCAAAATCCGACCGTTGGACTGGACGTACTATAGTACAGACTACGGCACTACGACTACGCCGAGCGAGGGCAACGGCTGTTTATTTTCATTGTTATCTCCGTGGTGTCGGTATCCTGTCGTAGTGACGCAGCCACAACACTGTCCATAGACCGTCGTATTTGTCACAGAGCCGTAGTCACCGTAGTCTAGTCTGTACTCTGTAGTAGTTGTAGGCCTGTTGCCTGTGCCCCGTACCTGTGTGTGTTGTGTTTCGTTATCGCCTGTCCAGCCGTTATTGTACGCCGTCACGCTCGTTGGCCGCCACTTCACCCCGCCACCCTTCCCTACGCGTTCCTTCACTACCACCGTCCGCCTGTCCCGCACCGCGCCCGCGCGTTTAACAACGCTCATTCGTTCGGCGGTTCCCGCGCTAACCGATACGGTACGTGTCCCGGTACAGCCACAGCGATCGAGTATTCGAGTGTTCCGCGTTCGAGCCCGTCCGTCTGCCGCCAAATATTCACTCGATCAGCCGATCCGTCAACTGCCGTCGTTTCCGGCAGTTTGTTATTAATTCCGTTCGTCTTGATTCCCCGTGCTCCAGGCCACTACAATGCATAAAGGTATGTTCAAAATCGGTGTCGTCGCATGGTGCGTGGTGTCGTCTCGGTGGACCCACCGCGACGGGTGTTCCGTTATCGACGGGCCTCAACGGTTTTCACGCCCGACGTGTACGTACTTTTCCGGCTCACGGCGTTGGTTGGCTTCGTGGTCGGGCGGTTGCGAGCAAACGTCGGTGCGCCTTTCTTATGTAACCATTCCGAATGGTGATAAACTCGAAATCACCGGGCTCGGTCTGAGTTTTCTGACGGCGACCGAACTCTACAATGTTCGGAAAACATACTAATTTAGTTCCTATTTTTCAATGTTTGTTTGTTAATTATTTTTTTTATAACGAAGAATCATATTTTGCCACCTTGGTCATAATCCTCTACGGCCAATGACGAGGTTTAAAAAAACTAAACTGCGTACCTGTTCGCTTTGCGACATAAAATATAATACCTATGTAGAAAATTGTATAATCTGTGTTCATTTCCAAATATCTTCTGCTTCGTGATAATACCTGTACCTAACTAAATAATCTTATCCCTTAAATATTGTTTGGCTGTAACTGGAAATATCTAGGTAGGTAGGTAGGTAGGTACTCAATAAGTCTGCATTTTACATAGGTATTATAATGTTTATATTTTTTATTTAGAGGACACTGGCATTTCTTGTCTCCGTCTTACAATGTACAGTAGGGCAAATTTTATTTTCACAATAGTACATCTTACTCTGTAATTTCTAAAATGTAAAGCTAATGTCGCTGTCGGCGGCTTTTATTGATATTTTTTATTAAGAAGCGAGATGAACATTTTTTGTACATTTTAACCCGTCAGTGGTCGCGATGTGAGCGCGGCGCTCACCTCGTTAGTATTTTGAGAGCCATTTGTTTATTTATTACTTGATTCATCTGATACTATTTATACCTTCAATCGACACATATTTAAGTATACTTTTGCAAATATAAAAATTGCATAAATAATTCTTGATTAGATATCGACATGCAATGTTGTTAATATCCATAAATTCAGCGTTTCACTCACTCAATAGGTCAACCAAATACTTTTTCGTAAACTCAGACCTATTTTTAAGTAGCACCCAACATTTATATGTGTACTGTATAATAATCAGCAAAATATTCCAGACCACTAAGGCGAAGATGAATGACAATGATTATCTTATTATATAATTATGTATAAAAAATTATAAATTAATTTTTAGTGGTTAACAATTTATAATCGAGAAAAATTGTAAGAACATTTTTTGTAAAAGATTAAACTATAAATAATTCGTTGTTGGTTTCAATATTTTAAGTTCATTATATAATAAATAATGATGAAAAAACAACAAGGTGAGCGCAGCGCTCACTCAATACCAATGGCGGGACTTTACATAGCGATACCAACGACGGGTTAAAATTATCATAACTTACTTAAAAATAATAATATAAATAAAATCCTCAAAGGTGTCCTAGTAATATTATTAGCTTTAAATTGTATAAGAGGTAAATTACAGATTAAAATGTATTATTGAGAACGTAAAATTTGCCATGTTGTACGTTTGTAAGACGGTGACAACAAATGTCTGTGTGGCATTCTCTCAAGTACTGAAAAGTTGTTTCATTTAAATAATTTAGAGAAGTTTATCCACCTACTTATATTCATGTAAAAAAAAAAAAAAACATTGTTATATAGTATATTATGAACTAATATCGAGACTAATATCTACCTAAATTTTATTCCAATTTGACTTGGATATTTATTTAGTGCATACAAAATTGTTTTAATTAATATAGTCCAATTTTTTTCAGGAGTGGCTGATAACGAGTATGAAATCGAATCCATTTTATTCGATGATACATACGGGAGCAAAACAATGTATCTCGTAAAATGGAAAAACTACCCCATGGACCAATGCACATGGGAACCATATCGAAATCTGACAAATTGTACCCAGGCATTAAATGATTACAGATCAAATAAAATAGTTGCAACCGAAATCTACCAGACTGCACGTTATAAAGAACTGTATGACTCACTAAATATTTTTGCAGATCAGGAACTACTTGAATTGTTGCACCATGTAATTCAAGATGGAATGCCTTCTATAGATGACAAATTTGTTAGGGGTACAATTGCTTATTTATCAACCGTATCACCCAGTAGTAGGAGTTCGTCTTTAACTAAACTCATCAGACATAATTTAATGATAATTGAAGTGGACAAAAAAAGGCAAAAACAACAAGAGAGATTAAATAAATGGCAAAATGATATGGCAAGAGTATGTGGATTTAATTTAAGCGTACTAAACAATGTTGACTTTGAAGGTCCTCCAAAACGTTTTTATTATGTTGATGAATGTGTGGCAGGCAAAGGCGTTGTAATTCCGAATGACCCTCCAGTTTGGTATGTACAATGAAAACAATATTTTTTGTCACTTAAATGCTATTAAGCTATTTAATTTTAAATTTAGGTGCCACTGTGATGTTACATGCGGAGGAAAAAAACGTAAGAAAACCGAATGTCATTTTGGCGATTTTCAACTTGCGTATAATAAATTCAAGCGCATCATAGTTCCTCAAGGCACTCCTATTTATGAGTGTAATAGAAAATGTACTTGTGACGCAACGTGTGTAAATAGAGTGGTTCAACATGGTCCAAGCAAAAATTTAAAACTTCAAATATTCCGTACTGACAACAATCGCGGTTGGGGAGTCAAAACATTGTTGAGTATAAAACAGGGTACTTATATTACCAAATATACCGGTGAAGTAATCACCAGATCAGAAGCTGATCAACGGGCTGTCACACATGGATCAAAGTCAACATACTTGTTTGATCTTGACTACAATACTGAGAAAAATGATAGTGTTTATTCTATCGATGCTACTACATATGGTAATGTATCACATTTTATAAATCATTCGTGCGATTCTAATCTGGCCATATTTGCTGTATGGATTGATTGCTTGGATACTAATATACCAACTCTGGCATTATTCGCGTCTAGAGATATTAGTGCAGGTGAAGAGATTACATTCAATTATATGACTTCTGTCAACAATGAAAATCGGAGAATTAAATGTAAATGTTTATCTGATAATTGCCGTGGTTACCTGTGTTAGTATGAATAATTTTATATTCATACCAACTATCACAAATTTAGAATTTTAACTGACTATTTGATACTTTTTTTATTATTATTTATTCTCAGATAGCATTGCTCATAATAAAAAAAGTTTAAGTTGAAATAAATTTTGTACAGTGTTTGGCTAAAGAAAAAAGGGTAATTTTTAGATGTATATAATGTAAATTTTACTGATTTAAATGAAAAGACAAAATATTATGTCTTAATAGTAGGTACATCATAAATTTTCTTTTCATTCGTTGCAGGCTAGGTTAATTTTATTGGCGTTTAAAATGATAAGATTACTCTTTGAAGCTTAATTTTTTTTCACTAGTAAATATTTGTTTTTGAACTGAGTTCAGTAAGACAGTTGATATGATTTTCTATAATGATGCCTTAGTATCTAATAAAGGTGACTAAATATTCTACAAAAAATAGTATATAATAAATTAGACTTTGTATTAATATATTTATATGTAGGTGACCCATTTAGTTAAACGAAAACACAAGAACACAATTTATTAAAAGTATTAAATGTATTGCTCCTTCTATGTATAATAAAGTTGTGTTTTTTTTTTTTAATTAGTCAAATTGTATCTATCACTAATTATTTATACCAAGGTATAATTATTTATTATTATATTATAAAAAAAAAACAATATTATTCATGTACAACTAAAATATTTTGTTAATTATCCAATTACTACTTAAGTAGTATTTAGAGATCTTTAAAATTGTTAATTACCATATTTTTGTTCTATTAAGTCTTAATGTCAATTATTTCCAGTATTTCAGATTAATTTGTTTTGAATTATTCATTCCACTAAAAATGTTTATTTATTTCCCATTTGTATAATTAAGTAACAAATGTATTTGGTTTCTAAATGTTCATTTGACTAAAATATATTTATTTTTTGTATAGTAAGCACAAATTTGACTTTTTTTTTAAATAATCATAAACCTTGGTGATATTTAAATTATTTATAACATTAACTATTGTGCTTTATTATATATTTCTTTGTGTATGTTTTATTTTGTATTTTAAGTCATAAATTAATCATTATTGCTCTATAAAATTAGACTTTGCATTAGTTTTTTATTTTTAAGTTTTCATTTTCAATTATTAAAGTTATGGACCAGAAATTTCAATGTTTCTTTTTATAAAAAAAAAATTGAGAATTCATGTTCAATAATTCAACTTTTTATAAATTAAAGTCATGTAAAATGTTATTAAAATATTATAAGAGACTGAGTGTAATTTATATTCAGTTGTTTTAAGAATTAATTATATTTTCAATTTTAAATATTGCGTTTAAATTATAATGTACATTAAACAGAAACATTTTTTACTTGATTTTTATGTCACAATATTGTTGTAACTATTTCATTTTAATGTATCTGATGAGTTGAATACTGTGTATGTATAATAGTTAGTACCATTTTTTACATACAAATGAACTACATTACGTACGTATATTAATGTGATGGGTACAAAATATTAGGCTATTTAGTATTTAACTGTCAATCAAAATTGTTTGTATCATTGATTTAAATGTTAAGACAATTTTGATATTGTAAGTGTTTAAGAATGGACTTTATTTTAAATAACTAAGATGTATAATATTATTTGTAATGTTTTTTCAAAGACTGCATTTAAATTATGTCATTAAAACATACCTTTT